TTTGATCCCCTGCTGATTTTGAATGTTTGTCCACTCACAAAGAGATCAGTCTAAAAATCGAATGGTAGGTGTATTGTAACACAGAGACAGAATAGCAGCAAAAAATTCAAAAGAAATGCAGGATTAACAAATTATGCACTGATTTGCATGTCCATAAGGGAAATAAGTATTTGATCCCCTATCATTCTGCAGGATTTCTGGCTACCAGGTGTCTTTCATACAGGTAACAAGCTGAGATTAGAAGCAGTCTCTTAAAGGGAGTGCTGCTAATCTCTTTTTGTTACCTGTATAAGACACCTGTCCACAGGAGCTATCAAACAATCAGATTCGAAACTCTCCATGGCAAAGACCAAAGAGTTGTCCAAGGATGTCAGGGACAAGATTGTAGACTTGTACAAGGCTGGACTGGGCTACCAAACTATCGCCAAGCAGCTTGGTGAGAAGGTGACAACAGTTGGTGCAATCATTCCCAAATGGAAGAAACACAAAACTGTCAGTCTCCCTAGGTCTTGTGCACCATGCAAGATTTCACCTCGTGGAGTGTCAATGATGAGAACAGTGAGGAATCATCCCAGAACTATACGTGAGGATCTTGTCCATGATCTCCAGGCAGCTGGGACCACAGTCACCAAGAAAACAATTGGTAACACACTACGCCGACAAGGATTGAAATCCTGCAGTGCCGAAAGGTCCCTCTGCTCAAGAGAGCACATGTCCAGGCCCATCTGCATCATTCAGATGTTCAATGGCAAACTTCAGAGGACGACTGGTTGAAAATGTTGTTGTCAGATGAGACCAAAATCGAGCTCTGTGGCATCAACTCGCTGTGTTTAGAGGAGGAGGAATGCTGCCTATGATCCCAAGAACACCATCCCAACTGTCAAATATGGTGGTGGAAACATTCTGCTTTGGGGGTGTTTTTCTGCTAAGGGGACAGGACAACTGCATCACATCAAAGGGACAATGGACGGGGCAATGTACTGTCAAATCGTGAGTAAGAACCTTCTTCCCTTAGCCAGGGCATTGAAAATGGGTCGTGAGTAGGTGTTCCACATAACAATGACCCAAAATACACAGCCAAGGCAACAAAGGAGTGGCTCAAGAAGAAGCACATTAAGGTCCTGGAGTGGCCTAGCCAGTCTCCAGACCTTAATCCGATTTAAAACCTGTGGAAGGAGCTGAAAGTTCGAGTTGCCAAATGTCAGCCACCAAACCTTAATGACTTGGAGAGGATCTGCCAAGAGGAGCGGGCCAAAATCCCTCCTGAGATGTGTGCAAACCTGGTGGCCAAGTACAGGAAACGTCTGACCTCTGTGATTGCCAATAAGGGATTTACCACCAAGTACTAAGTCATGTTTTGTGAAGGGGATCAAATACTCATTTCCCTCATGAACATGCAAATCAGTGCATAATTTGTTAGACATGCATTTCTTTTGAATTTTTTGTTGCTATCGTGTCTCAGTGTTACAATACACCTACCATTCGATTTTTAGACTGATCATTGCTTTGTGAGGAAAACATTCAAAATCAGCAGAGGATCAAATACTTATTTCCTTCACTATACATTATTATTATTATTATTATTATTATACAGTATTTATAAAGCGCCAATAGTTCGCTCAGCGCTGTACATTACAAAGGGAGACAGAACATGTGACAGAACAATACCAATACAATGCAAAACATGAGGGGATCAAGGGCCCTGCTCTTTCGAGCTTACAATCTAGAAGGGAGGGGGTGGTGGCACAGGAGGAGATAGCTGTGGGGGATGGAGTGGTAGGAAGAGTGGAGGAGGGAGGCAAGTTAGCAGGGGGTGGGGTAGGCTTCCCTGAAGAGATGGGTTTTCAGGGTGCGCCTAAAGGAGAGGAGAGTAGGTGATAATCTGATGGGTTGGGGCAGGGAGTTCCAGAGGATGGGTGACACCCTGGAGAAGTCCTGGAGGCGGGCATGGGAGGAGGAGACCAGGGAACTAGAGAGAAGGAGGTCTTGTGAGGAGCGGAGTGTGCGTGCTGGGCGGTACTTGGATATTAGGTCAGTGATGTAGTTCGGGGCAGTATGGTAGACAGCTTTGTACGTCAGCGTTAGGATTTTGAATTTGATCCGTTGCGCAATCGGAAGCCAGTGGAGGGATTGGCAGAGGGGGGTGGCGGAGACAGAGCGGTTGGAAAGGTGAATGAGTCTGGCAGCCGTGTTCAGGATGGACTGAAGAGGGGATAGCCAGCGGCGAGGCAGGCCAGTGAGGAGGGAGTTGCAGTAGTCGAGTCGTGATATGATGAGGGAGTGGATGAGCTGTTTAGTGGTTTCTGGGGTTAGGAACGTGCAGATTTTGGCGATGTTGCGGAGGTGGAGTCTGCACGAGTTTGTTAAAGATTGGACTTGGGGCTGGAAGGATAGGTTGGAGTCCAGAATGACACCCAGTACTCTGGCCTGCAGGGCGGGTTTGATGGTAGCGTTGTTGGATGTGACGGAGAAATCAATGGGGGGTGGTGTCCGGGCTGGGGGGAAGACAAGAAACTCGGTTTTGGAGAGGTTCAATTTAAGGAAGTGGAGCGACATCCAGTCTGATATGTCGCTCAGTAGGTGTGTGATTCGGGCTGAGACCAAGGGGGTGAGGTGGGGGGTTGAGAGATAGATTTGTGTGTCGTCGGCATAGAGGTGGTAGTTGAAGCCGTGAGAGTGTATGAGTTGACCAAGGGAGGAGGTATAGATGGAGAAGAGAAGGGGCCCGAGGACAGAGCCTTGAGGGACCCCAACAGAGAGGGGGAGTGAGGGGGAGGTGGTAGCATTATAGGTAACGCTGAAAGAGCGTTGTGACAGGTAGGATGAGATCCAGGAGAGAGCAGAATCTCTGAGGCCGAGGAGTGTGTAGTTTTTTGAGGAGGAGGGGGTGGTCGACTGTGTCGAAGGCCGCAGAGAGGTCAAGGAGTAGGAGCACTGAATAGTGTCCATTAGCTTTGGCGGTTAGCAGGTCATTGGAGAGTTTGATACATCCAAATCAACAAAGGAATGGCTTCATCAGAAGAAGATTAAAGTTTTGGAATGGCCCAGCCAGAGCCCGGACCTGAATCTGATGTGAAAATGTGTGGGTGATCTGAAAAAGGCTGTGCACAGGAAATGCCCTCTAAATCTTACAGATTTGGAGTGCATTTGGAAGGAAGAGTGGGCATATATTGCCAAGTCCAGATGTAAACTCATACCCAAAAAGACTGAGTGCTGTAATAAAATCAAAAGGTGCTGCAACAAAGTAGTTTAAAGGTGTGCACACTTATGCAACCATATTTTAGTTTATTTTTACTTCCCTTCCTAAAATATTTCAGTTTGTTGTTAAACCGTGTATAGGTTACATTAAAAGGAGGAAAAAGTTCTGAAATGATTTTTATCTTTGTCTCATTTTTTACATCACAGAAACCTGACATTTTAACAGATGTGTAGACTTTTTATATCCACTGTATGAGGTCACTTGGCGTCAAGACCCACTTGCCAAGAGACACAAACAATAATCAAGACCAGTGGATCAAAGACAGAAAAAAGAAATATAGAGAAGGAAAAAAGAAAACAAACAATGGATGAGAACAGGATGAAAAACAAGGGCTAAAAAGGAAAAGAAGAAAGAGAGAGGAGAAAAGAAGGAAACAAAAAAGGGGGGGGGGGAGAGGAAAATGAAGGGTGAAATAAGGAAATCTAAAAACAAATACAAAAATTAAAAGAAAAATTAATAAATAAAAACAGAAAAAAGTGAACAAATGAAAAAATAAAAATTTTAAGATATGTGAAAATGAAAAGGAAAGCAAAAAAAAAAATAAAATGAGAATACAAAGTAAAAGGAAAAAACAAGAGAAGAGGGGAAAAAAGGGGGGGACCAAAGAAAAAAATATATGTAGGAGCAGGGATTTCTCACCCAACCACTACCATGACCCTAACAATGTGTGAAGGATTAGGAGGGGTCAAGAGTGCTTATATTTTTATTCATTAATTTAGTCATTTCCCCCACCTTTTTTTTTTTTTTTTTTTTTTCTCTTTTGCCTCCATTCTCAATTTTTTTTTTTTTTTTTTTTTTTTTTTTTTTGGGTGGGGTGTTTGTTTTTTTTATTTTCAGTTTTCTTGACTTTTTTTTGTGTTTTGGGGTTTTTTCATTTCTTCACTTATTTTCATTCTTTTTCTGTTTTTTGTTTTTTCTGTTTTTGTTTTTTTTCAATTGTTTATTTTTCCTTTTTCATATTTCTTTCTGTCCATTTTATTTTTTGTTTGTCTTTCTATTCCCTGTTCTTGATTATTGTTAGTGTACTGTTTCTTTACATCCTTTCCCCATGTTCTGTGGACACTCCGCCCCTCACTTCTGACAGTATGAGTTTGTTTACATCTGGCATCTGATCTCGGCAGCCCAGTCGGCCAATGTTTACTGTTGCCTGGATACAGGCAGCTGCCGTAATCCCTTCCTGATTGGATTTAAGGCAGGTTGCCTGGCAATTGAGATGCTAGACCATACTGGCTCTTGCTAACTGTTCAGGCACATCTGTTAGATATGCCCGATCAATTTGCCGTGTGTGTGTGTGTGTGTGTGTGTGGGGGCCTCCCCCCCGACATCATATGACATCAGGTATGTCACTTTTTTTTTCTTCTTGCACTCTGATTGGTGGAGAGCTCTTTAAATACTTTTGCACTATTGTACACATCACATGCTTGATGAAAGGGGTCCTGCGTGGCTCAGAAACTTTGCACCATGTCCTCTGTGATGTGATCATTCTTCATTAAAGATTTTGGATGCTATTTGATGATCCATGGTGTGCTAGCGAATATGTGCATTTAGGCACAAATTGGTGTACAGCGTTTTCTATGTACACTTTTTTTTGTTGTTACCCAGGTTAGTTGTCACTTAATATCTGTATGTGCATATATAATTTATTTGCACTGTTATTACTTTGGTCAGACCTATGCAAGTGCTTATATATTATTACTTCTCATTTATCTGTATTTACATTAATTTTTTTGCTTTATTTTAGATAAATTTGGATGATGGCCATCAGCAAACTCTTCCTCCATCAGTTATCCAGTGTTTTGCTTGTCCTAGATGTTTTCTTCTTTTTAACCAAAGAGATGAATGTCTGAAGCACATGTCTGCAAACAATCACTTTGTGCAAAGCATCACAGCTAGTGGTATGTATGTTGAACATCATGTTTATGTTGAACATTTGGTGTCCTTTTTTTTTTTTTTTTTTTTTTATTTCTTTGCCATGTATTTCAGTATGTGGTTTACAGTCTTGCTGTACCTGCTATATTTATTTGGACTTGACAAACTGTATGAACAGTACTCTGTAATGTTAAGAAAAAAATGAGGAAAACAATACATATAACATCGTTCGTACTTAGTGAACAATTGTCTTGTATCTCTAAAGGTTATCGTTTATACAGGTCATGATAAAGCCAGTAGGTAGCTATAGCTAGTGGGACATATTCAACTGGACTTGTTCTGTAATGTTGAAGTTGTTTAAAAGCTCATCCAGGAATGTCAGGAACCGCAGCATTTATATCCTCACAGGTAGCTCAGAAACTTTAGAATTTCTGAACACTGGCTTTAAAAAAATTGCCAGTGCTCTTGGGGAAAAAAAATCTAATTTTGACCATTTTTTGCATTAGCATTAAGCTTCTTTAGATGTGTGTAGCATTTTTTTGTGTTTTTTTTGCCAGAAAACTGCTCTCAAAAATGCACAACAGGGGGGTTTCTTTTTTCTGCCTCTAAAGGTCCTACTGTGCATGGAAACATAGGATAACATCAGCACCTTAAAGAAAGGAGAAACATTTGCGTATAGATATAAAAAAAATCATAAGTACCCTTCTTTTTTTTTTTTTTTTTTTTTTTTTTTTTTTTTTTTTTTTGTTTAGAAGTGATCACATACCCCTTATGTTCTCAGCTGCATAAGGAGCTCAGAGAGCTGGTGGAGGAGAAGCGTTAAAGCGGGGGCCTCAGTTTTTTTTTTTTTTTTTTTTTCCAAGACAATGGTACTGCCTTACATGCATAAAACAAGGAATAGTGAGGAGCGTTCTTTGTGCCCTAAAACTGCTACCTCCTCCACCAACCCTTGTAGGCAGACTGAGATAGTAATAGGAATTTGGAGAGCCATCTTTTTCATTAAGAGTAAGTGTCACCCCTTTCCTCAGCCAAGATTTCTGAACTTCCTGACAATGCCAGAAAATGTAGTCTAGATCTTTGGAGAATGTACAATGCCAACATTCCTCTGAGCAGGAAATTATATGTGTTAGACAATTTAGCTGGTGTATACTAGATTTTGTGTAAGAGTTTGATCTGGATGAGGAGGTCTGTAGTCGACACCAGTTTTTTAAAAGGGTAGTCCCACATGTTTTCCCAGTCATCCCCCTGGAAATTTGGAATTCGAGACATCCACTGTGCTTCAGATTTTTCAAGAGCTCTCGGCCTCGCAGTGAACAGCTCCTTAAACACTTCAGACAATGTTTTTACCATTTAGTCAGAACAAAGCAGCTGTTACAAGTAGGAGTACCAAGTGTTTAGCATGGCATTACCAAACTGTGACACACATGCAGGTAAACTGTAAATGGCAAAAAAAAAGTACCAGTTTGGGAGTTGAAATTTAGATTTTAATCCATCAACGGTAAGGAGTTTCCTTGCCACAACTACATCTTTGATTTGTTTGACCCCTTCTGCAGCCCAGAGCATGGGGTCCAGCACTTCACAAAAATGAAGAAACACAGGGTTGAACCATAATGGAGAAGAATGCCACCCCTTCTGATTGTGTAATAACCTCACAACAGGATATAGGAATTTTACACGAAGACCTTCATAAAATAGAGGGTGGGCCGGTACATGGCAAATAAGGCTCAATGTAGGAAAATGTAAAGTATGGACTTGTGGGGAAAAATTTTGAATTCAAGTTATCTGCTAGAGAGAGCACCTCCTAGGGGAATTGAGGATGGAAAAGGATCTGAGAGTCCTGGTAGAGACAGACTCATCAATAGCATGCAATGCTAAGCTGCAGCAAGCAAGACCAGGAGGCTATTGGCATGCATTAAAAAAAAAGTATTTTTAAAATCTGGTTCGGCCACATCTTGAGTGTGCTATCCAGTTCTGGTCACCAGTCCTCAGGATGTGCTGGAACTGGAGAGAGTCCAGAGAAGGGCAACAAAGTCTTTTGGGCTGGGAAAGAGTGCTAGGGATAGCCACGGTGTAAGGGACTTTGAGCTCAAAGCAATCCATCTTTTCCTTCTGTGGTGGCCAGACTTTCTCAGGGGTCTTCTCATTAGAATCCTGTCCAACAAGGCCATGGCTGTGGCTTGCGTCAAGCACCAGGGAGGCACTAGAAGTCACAGATCTCATCTTACAGTGGGCAAAGATAAATGTTCCAGCCACATCAGCCATGCACATTTAGGGAGTAGAGCTTTGACAGTTGGACTTTAAGTCAACAGGAAATTATGTCAGGGGAAAGGTGGAGATGTTAAAGGAGGTCTGTCGGCATTACAGGACTCCAGTTGTGGACCTCTTGGCATTCAGGTTAAACAAGAAACTGAACAGCTTTGTGTTCAGAATGAGGGATCCTCTGCCTTTTGACACTGGATATTCTGGTGACCCCAGGGGATCAATTCCATTCCCTTGCTTCAGTTGTTAACACATCTGCTTCACAGAATTGAATCGGAAAGCACTCTGGTGATTCTAATGACTCCAAATTGGCCAAGAAGGGCTTGATTATTGGGCATTCTTTGCATGTTAGCATTACCATAATGGCTTCTTTTGGATAGTCCAGACCCTTCTGTTGCAAGGTCTCATTTACCCCCCAATTCATGGTCACTAGCTTCACCTGCATGGCTGTTGAAGCCCAGGTCCTAAGGGAGAGGTTTGTCTGAGACTCAGTGATTCCTGCTTCTTACTTCTTAAAGCAAGAAAGGCTACATCCTGTAAGGTACAGTGGATATAAAAAGTCTACACACCCGTTGAAATGTCAGGTTTTCTGTGATGTAAACAAATTCGACAAAGATAAATAATTTCAGAACTTTTTCCACCTTTTTAATGTGACCTTTAAACTGTACAACTCAATTGAAAAACAAACTTAAATCATTTAGGGGGGGAGAGTAAACATAAAAAAACTAAAATAATGTAGTTGCATAAGTGTGCATGCCTTCTTATAACTGGGGATGTAACTGTGTTCAGAATTATGCATTCACATTCAAAGTCATGTTAAATAGGAGCACACACCTGCCATCATTTAAAGTGCCTCTGATTAACCCCAAATACAGTTCAGCTGTTCTAGTAGGTCTTTCCTGACACTTTCTTAGTCACATCTTACAGCAAATGCCATGATCCACAGAAAGCTTTCAAAGCATCAGAGGGATCTCATTGATAAAAGGTATCAGTTAGGAGAAGGGTACAAAAGAATTTCCAAGGTATTAGATATACCATGGAACACAGTGAAGATGTCATCTAGGTGAGAAAATATGGCACAACAGTGACATTACCAAGAACTGGACATCCCTCCAAAATTGATGAAGACAAGAATAAAACTGGTCTGGAAGGCTGCCAAGACGCCTACAGCAACATTAAAGGAGCTGCAGGAATATCTGGCAAGTACTGGCTGTGTGGTACATGTGACAACAATCTCCCATATTCTTCATATGTCTGGGCTATGGGGTAGAGTGGCAAGATGGAAGCCTTTTCTTATGAAGAAAAACATCCAAGCCCGGCTAAATCTTGCGAAAACACATTTGAAGTCTCCCAAAAGCATGTGGGAAAATGTGTTCTGGCCTGAAGAAACCAAGGTTGAACTTTTTGGCCATAATTCCAAAAGATATGTTTGGAGTAAAAAACACTGCACATCACCAAAAGAACACCATATCCACAGTGAAGCATGGTGGTGGCAGCATCATGCTTTGGGGCTTTTTTCTTCAGCTGGAACTGGGGCCTTAGTCAAGGTAGAGGGAACAGTTGCAAATACCAGTCAATATTGGCACAAAACCTTCAGGATTCTGCTAGAAAGCTGAACATGAAGAGCAACTTCATCTTTCAGTCTGACAACGACCCAAAGCATACATCCAAATCAACAAAGGAATGGCTTCACCAGAAGAAGAATAAAGTTTTGGAATGGCCCAGCCAGAGCCCAGACCTGAATCCAGTCGAAAATCTGTGAGGTGATCTGAAGAGGGCTGTGTACAGGAGATGCCCTCTCAATCTGACAGATTTGGAGTGTTTTTGCAAGGAAGAGTGGGCAAATATTGCCAAGTCAAGATGTGCCATGCTGATAGACTCAGACTCATACCCAAAAAGACTGAGTGCTGGAATAAAATCAAAAGGTGCTTCAACAAAGTATTAGTTTAAAGTTGTGCACACTTATGCAACCATATACAGTGGGGCAAAAAAGTATTTAGTCAGCCACCAATTGTGCAAGTTCTCCCACTTAAAAAGATGAGAGAGGCCTGTAATTGGCATCATAGGTAGACCTCAACTATGAGAGACAAAATGAGAAAACAAATCCAGACAATCACATTAGCTGATTTGGAAAGAATTTATTTGCAAATTATGGTGGAAAATAAGTATTTGGTCATCTACAAACAAGCAAGATTTCTGGCTCTCACAGACCTGTACCTTCTTCTTTAAGAGGCTTCTCTGTCCTGCACTCATTACCTGTATCAATGGCATCTGTTTGAACTTATCAGTATAAAAGACACCTGTCCACAACCTCAAACAGTCACACTCCAAACTCCACTATGGTGAAGACCAAAGAACTGTCGAAGGACACCAGAAACAAAATTGTAGACATGCACCAGGCTGGGAAGACTGAATCTGCAATAGGCAAGCAGCTTGGTGTGAACAAATCAACTGTGGGAGCAATAATTAGAAAATGGAAGACATACAAGACCACAAATAATCTCCCTCGATCTGGGGCTCCACGCAAGACCTCACCCCGTGGGGTCAAAATGATCACAAGAACGGTGAGCAAAAATCCCAGGACCACACGGGGGGACCTAGTGAATGACCTGCAGAGAGCTGAGACCAACGTAACAAAGGCTACCATCAGTAACACACTACACCGCCAGGGACTCAGATCCTGCAGTGCTAGACGTGTCCCCCTGCTTAAGCCAGTACATGTCCGGGCCCATCTGAAGTTTGCTAGAGAGCATTTGGATGATCCAGA